GGCCCTTCCAGAGGATCTTACAAACTGCAACCTTCGCCCCCAAGACTTTCACTGACTTCCTTTTCACAAACTCTGTCTCTCTGTTGGGGTTTTCTGCTTGACACCTTCCTTTACTTCTTTCATCGCCGTTTCCTTTAGTTCTGTAAACATGTTTAAAATGCCCACTTTAAACGCTTCTGATAAATCTGCCATCTGGTCTCTCTCACAGGCCGTTTCTGCTGCCTAGCTTTTTCCTCGCGCATGGCTCACGCTCTCCTGTTTGCTTTATTCTTTGGCCGTCTCAGGTGGCCCATTGCAGCAGTGCTGGGTAGGGGTTTCCCTGCCCTGGGGCTTCTTACCAGCACTTCCTTGTTTATTGACGTGGTGACAGTGGGAGGATTTTAGTGGCGTCTCTGCACCAGTGCAGCCCCGGACGCTGTTCCTGGGGGGTGCAGGCGGGGTGCCCACATCACCTGGACAGGGGGTCCAGTCAGGCTCTTTCTCTTTCCCTGAGTGTATCTGGCTGTTAGACTTCCCTTCTTTCCTGCTGATTTCTCTGTAGTTTTCAGTAATGCCCTGGGTCGTAAATTGCTCTACAAATGAATCCAGTCGGGTTCTGGCTCCTTTCAAGGAATAGTGTTTGATCCGTACTTGATTATTTGCTCTGACCCCAGAAGGGCTCTTGGTACCTGTGTATTCCCTGACTCCCTCCTGGACACCGGCCGGCCTGCAGTCTGGCCTGCACCCCGAATCTCCTCTCTGCTGCCTCTGCCAGAACCTCCACTCTTCTTGACAGACCTCTAGTCTTGAATTTCCTCACTGTCTGTTGCAAATGAGGTCAGTCCCTTTGGGAAGAGAGTGGGAGCTCTCTGGGGGGCTCAGGAGCCAGGGCAGGGCGGCCGGGGTGCCGGGAACCTCAGCACACGGACTCAGGGCAGAGCCTCTGTTCCATGAAGGCCCCCCACACACACCCAGGCTGAGCCTGCTCCTCCCAGGAGCTGTGTCCCCGGCGGGGAGGGGAGGGGGCTCCCAGGTCTTGCACAACCTTCCTGAGTGGAGTCGGACTTGGAACCAGGAGGAGGTTGAGGGGCAGGAGGTCAAATACCGCAGACTGTCACTTTTCTTACAAATTTTCATAAATGTTCTTGCCCAGGTATTTCTCCATTTCTGTTCATCCTTTGGACAATTTCCAGAAAGTATCTTCTAGGGTTTTTTTCCACCACTTTTCACCAGTCTCACGGGGAGAAGGTCAGCGGAGCTTCTCTGGCCGGGTGCTGAGCTCCGAAGGCAGGCTCTGCCATTCACCTTCTTGTCACTGGCAAGTGCACACCCCTGCCTGCCATCGGGCCAGGCACAGGGGACAGACTCAAGCAGCAGCTCGAGGACCTTGCTTTTCCCTCCACTCTCCTGTCCAGCTTCCCCTGACACGGCTGGCTTCCCTGTCCCAGGATGGAGCCCAGGGGATGTTTCAGTCAATCTTGGAGGAAAGTCCCACCTCTCTGCAGCGGCCAAGCTTCAGTCCAGTCTCGTAATTACAGAACCCAGTTTTCACGGGCAGTGCGGTCCCCCAAGCCCGCACCCCAGCTCCGGGCCTGGAAGGGGAGACTGTGGCCAATTCCAGCTCTGTGCCCTCATCTCCGGGTCCCCAGCTGCCACTTCTGATTCAGCCCTGGGGGTGTGGGGGTTCCTGTGGCTACTGTGACAACTCACCGTAGGCTTCAGTGGTGTAACACCACCAGATTATTCTCTACAGTTCTGGGGGGGCCAGACCTGCATCCCCAGGCAGCGCTGGCTCCTCCTGGGGCCGCCGGGAGCACCTCTCCTGCCTTGTCAGCCTCCAGAGCTGCGTTCCCTCCAGCCCCGGGCTCCCGGCCCTTCCTCCCTCTCCGAGCCGACAGCCTGATGTCACCTGCTGCTTCTGCATCACGTCTCCCTCTGCCTCCCTCACAGGACGCTTGAGATCACATCTTGGGCGTCCTGGTTAACTCAGGACCATCTCCCCATCTCAAAAGCCTCCACTTCCCGTTTGCCATCGCATTGAAAAGGATGAGATACCTAGGAGCAAGCCTGCCCAAGGGGGCACAGGACCAGCTCTCCCAAACCTGTAAGGCGCTGACTAAAGACACTGAGGACATAAACCAGTGGAAAGACGCGCTGTGCTCTTGTATTAGAAGACTCGGTGTTGTTACAGTGGCCATACTGCCCAAGGCAGTTTGCAGACTCAGTGTGGTCCCCATCAAGTTATCAACGACATTCTTCACAGCGCTGGGACAAAAAACGTTACAATTTGTATGGAAGCACAAAAGACCCCAAATAGCCAAAACAATCTTGAAAAAGAAGAACAGGGCTGGGGGAATCACGCTCCCTGACTTCAGAGCATACTACAAAGCTACAGCCATCAAAACAGCATGGTGCTGACACAAAAACAGACACACAGATCAGTGAGACAGGATAGAGAGTCCAGAAATAAACCCATGCACTCATGGTCAATTAACCTACGACAAAGGAGGCAAGAATACACAATGGCGAAAAGACAGTCTCTTCAACAAGTGGTGCTGGGAACACTGGACAGCGACATGTAAAACAAAGAGATTAGGACATTCTCTAACACAATGTGCCAAATAAACTGGAAATGGATTAAAGACTTACATGCAAGGCCAGACAGTATAAAACTCCTAGAGGAAAACACAGGCAGAGCACTCTTGAACATAAATCACAGCAATATTTTTTTTCAAATCAGCTGCTACAGTCATGGAAATAAAATCAAAAATAAACAAGTGGGATCTTATTAAACTCAAAAGTTTTTGTACAGCTAAGGACACCATCAATAGAACAAAAAGACAACCTGAAGAACGGGAGAAAACATTTGTAAGTGATGCGACTGACAAGGTACTTTACAACAGCCAAGACACGGAAACACGCAGACGTCCGCCGATAGCTGACTGGGTGAAGAAGCTGTGGTGTGTTTACACAGTGGAATACTACTCAGCCATAGAAAAGAATAAAATACTGCCATTTGCAGCAACATGGATGGACCTGGAGATCATCATTCTAAGTGAAGTAAGTCAGAAAGGGAGAGAAAGACCATATGATGTACGTGCTTACACGTGGATTCTAAAAAACGGACACAAATAACCTTATCTACAAAACAGAAACAGACTCACAGACACACAGAACAAACTTACGGTTACCAGGGGGTAAAGGGGGTGGGAAGGGATATAGTGGGAATTTGAAACTTGCACGTCCGGGGGAGGGATGGAAACGTTGGCCGTCGTGACTGTGGTGGTGGTTTCACGGGCGCACACGTTTATCAAAATTCATCAAACTGTGCATCTGAAATATGTGTAGTTTGCTGTACAGGACTCATACCACAATTAAGGTGTTAAAAAAAATAAAAAAGCCTCTACTTAATTCGGCTGCCAAGCCCCTCTGTCACCTAAGGGCATGCTTGCAGTTCCAGGGAGCAGGACTCAGTGTCTCTGGGCGTTAGTCAGTTGGCCACGGGGGTTTGGGGTCTCAGGACTGAGACGGTCTTATGTGGCCCGACCCCACGGCCTGGCCTGGTCAGTGTCACCACTGACTTTTCCTCCTGGTGTGGGGGGGCTTCTGAGGGGCCTCCATGGGGACCCAGCTGCGGCTGCTGGTGGGGCTTGGTGCTGTCCCAGCTGCTGGCCTTGATGCCCCTCATTCTAGGCCTCCGGTTCCACCATCAGATGGGGTGCTCGGGCCCCGGGGGCCCTCCCAGCCAAGTCCCCTGGTGAGCTCCTGTCTGGCCTCTGGGAGTGGGGTGCATCAGCCCTCCTGCGAAGACTGGCTGCTCGCGCTCACCCCGACCCCAGCTCTCCTGACTCCCCGCAGCCCGGCTGCCGGTGGGGCCGAGGGCGCGGGGCCTATGGCACCGGCCTGGGCTCCTCTCGCCAGGGCTGAGCGCCAGCCCTGCCCCCCCACCACCAGCAGCTGTGGGCCCTTTGGAGAGACGCTCTCCTTTCTACACAGAACAAGTGCTTTGAAAAGCAAAATAAGCCCCGCTGGGCCCCAGGCCCCTGGGGACACACACTCAGCTTCATAACGGGGGGGGCGGGCCGTCCCCGCCC